GGGACACGATGACAGAGCTCCAACGCCTGAGAGGCTGCCCGGGGGGGAGGGGAGGGGAGGGGGGTCCGCCTCCTCTCCAAGGCGCCAGAAGGGAGGACGAGGAAGGTCGGATGGAGGCTCATCAAGGAGAGGAGCAACCTGGAATGAAGGAGAAGCTTCCTGGCAGGGAGGACAGTCAACCAGGGGAACAGAAGGTGTGGGTGCTCCATCACGGGGGGCGTTGAAGAAGAGACTGGACAAGCCCCCTGTCTGAAACGGCCCAGGGGCTCCTGCTTGACCAGGGGCTTTTCAACCTTTTCACAGATTGTACCACTTTTAGGACGTGACCATATTCCAGTACCACCAGTGCCTAGCAGAAACCTGATGACTGAAAAAAAGGGGGGGGCGCATTTTAGGTTTTACTGGTTAGATTCATTTGTTGCTATAAAAATGGCTACTTTATATTATGGAAAACTAAAAAGTTGATGTTTGATGTTAATGCTTCATTCTACTGCAACAGAGGAAGTCAAAAGTCAATGCCTTTTCCCCTTTTCACTTTTTTTCCCTTCCTCCTCCCCACTGCGTCCTACTGCTTTTGTATTTTTGTATTTTATTCCATAATCTAATAAAAAGTTACAAACGGTAAAGGAAAAAAGTACCGGTTTTAATTTATTCGGTGGTGGTTCCTCTGCTCTCAGGACCCCCGGCTATGCAGGCCGCCCAGAGCCCTGAGCAGTGGAGGGCAAGCACCCAGCTCAGCCCAGCCTTCCCCAAGGGGGTGCCCGGCTGGGCTTACCTTACCCTCCAGGCTGCTGCTTGGCTCGCTCTCCTTGGCCAGGTTGCTCATGGTGTGTGTGGGAGAGCAAAATGTGTGGGTCAGAGGGAGGCCCACTCCTTCTCCATGCGAGGAGACATGGCTTTTGTAACCAAAGCATCCTCAGTGATAGGATGGGAGGCCACCAGAAGAGTCAGGAGGAGGGGACAAGGGGATGGCATAAGGGCTGGTTGTGGCCAAGTGCTAAGGCAGGACTTCCCTCAGACCCTCCCTCTTATTATAATCTTCCTTCTTTCCTTCCTTCGCGCTCAGGAAGGGATGGCAGGAGGGGGAGAGATTGCCAGTGGCCATGTTGCTGCCGGCCCCAGCTATCCCACGCAGGCAGGGACGGTCCCGGTGAAAGGGAAGCCTGGCGGTGGCTGCGAGGCTAGGTCAGCGAGCGGGCGTGGTGCTGATCTGCTGGTGGAGGCCATCAAAGCCGGAACACGCTCAGCCTTAGATCCACGGGGCAGTCCTGGAGCCAGCGAGCCCCCCCCCCCCGCCCCTCTGCCCCGTCCCCGGGGGTGCACGGAGAAGACTGCAAGCACACAAGGGCTGGCGTCCTGGGGGAAAGAGACGCGCTTCTCTTGCCTTCTTTCTTTCTCAGTGGTCAGCAGGGATGGTGGGCACGCGTCGCCTCTTCGCGTGCCCAGGGGGCGGGGCAGGGGCAGCCCCTCGCTGGCCTATTCCCGCCAAAACCTCTCCCCCCTCCTCCTTTTTCAGGGCATCTCCAGCTCCCGTAAGCGCTGATCAGCTGGAGCCCGGCGCTGATCCTGGCGCCTCTGCCGAGCCCCGACAGCCCTGCAGCTCCAGCTCTCTCTCCCCCAGGCTTGTGTGCACATTCCTCTCCCCCTCAGCTATCACTTCTCTAGGACGGTCGCGTTCCACCTGCCAGGTGCCAAAGTACCACTGGTGGTACGCGTATCACCTGTTGAAAAGCCCTGGACTAGAAGACCTCCAAGGTGCCTTCCAGCTCTTTTCTGATGTGCCTCCGCAGAGCCTGGGTTTGGCAGAGCAATGTTGTTAGAGTTAAAAAAAACTCTGCTAAAAAACACGGATGGAAGTCCCATCTGCACCTGATGAGTTTCTGTAAGAGGTTCTTATGAAAGGGGTTTTTTTTTAAAGGAGGACATGAATATTCAATTATTTTCTCTGCCATCCTGGATTTGAAGCCTGAGCTTTCCTACAGTATTCTGGGTGTGACCTCAATGGAATGCAGGATAAAATTGGCTTCTCTTGATTTTGACACTGTATTTCTGTGGGTATAATGTTGTAAGCCGCCCGGAGTCACTATCTTGTCAGTTAGAAGGGTNGGGGGGGGGATTCTTCTGTCCCAGGGAAGACTAGATGGTAAATGCACAGCAGGGGTGTGTGCCGGGTGGGAAAAAGACTGTTTCACTCCGTCTGAAGCAGGGATGGTGTCTGGTCCAAGAAGAGGGTCAAATGGTGGCAGAATGCTGGCTGAAAGGGGCTGAAAGCCAGAATAAAAGCAGGACCCCTTGAAGGCAAACGGGGAGTTGATCTCAGAGACCACTACTTCCTAGGGAGGAAATTGACACTGCTCCATCTTGGATTATTTTCTCTTCTTCAATAAAAAGAGGTTCTTTCACTGAGGAAAATGCCTTACCATACTATCCCCTGTGCACCTGAGCCAATCGGCTTCAAGTTCTGGTATCGCTTTAATACACTGAAAGTAGAGTCTCCAATTTCAACACTGTAGAAGTTGTTTTCAGGCTTGCTTCTGCTCATGATGCCTCCAGCTGAGGAGCTTAAGCTAAAAGACACTAACCTGCAGCAAGACATAAGTCAGCGTTTTCCAGACTGGCATAAAATGGCACATTATTTATCATGCTTTCCTTTACCACATAAATGAAAGAAAAATGCTACTAAATAATATGTAGGAACTTCAGGTACATACTTCACACTTTATATTAAGTAACAAGCAGAATTATTTTCTGTTCAACTCCAAGACAATTTGACTTTCATTTCTAAGCCAATCTGAGTTAAATTTCACATTCATATAAATAATTCTACAATCCCAACCTGTCACTCCTACATCCATGGAATCATGTCAAGAATTTCTGCATACGCAACCTGATTTTGCATCTGATCATCTGTGACAGTCCCACAAAGCAACAGTGCAGAAAAAAACAAGAGGCTACCTCCCAGTTCTACCCCATTCAGAGGTAGCTAACCCCAAATTGCTTAGCAAACCAACAACAACAAAAAAAGGGGGGGGGAACCTAAACGTTTTCAATCATCTTCAAAAGCCCCTTGGCCCACATCACCATTTTAAATTATATCATGTTGGAAGAGGCCATTAAGCCTAATGCCATGCTCAGTGTGGGAATCCAAATTAAGGCATCCCTGGCAGATAAAATTTGTTTTTTGTCAGATAGAAACAGTGAGAGGAAAGGAACCTACCAAATTCCTTAATTGGCTGCACGGCTCTTACCATTAGTGATTCTTTTTTTTCTTCTAAAATTCAACCTGAATCCACCTTCCCGTAGCTTAAATCCATTATTCCAAGTCCTGCATTCTGAAACGATAAAAAGAAGTCTTAGCCTTCTTCAATATGACTACTGATGTTTAATGAGTGCTATCATCTCCAACCAGCCTTCTCTGTGCAAAGCTGTTTTTCTAATTCCTTCCATTTCTCTCCACGGTCCCTTTTATGGCCCTCCTCCCAAATGGTTTTAACCCCTTAAGATGTGATGCCCAGGACTCCCAAATTTCTACCGGGCAACCCAAAAATACTCTGATCTTCCAAGCGCTCATTCATATTCGGTTTGCAATCAGCTTCTATTCTGAGATCTTTTTCACAAATAGTATTAGCAAGACAGGCACGCTTCATTCTATACCTGTGCATTTAATTTGTAGACAAAACCTGGAGGGATATGCAAAGGACACAGAAATCAGTGTTACTTTCAGCTCACCTGTCTCACCCATCAAGATTATTTTGAATCTGGCTTCTGCTCTTTACAATACTAGCTAAGCCACACAATTCGGTATCATTTGCATAGCTGATAAATCTTTAACTCATGTTAACAATATAAGTATTGGAAAACAGAAGACCCAGGATATATCCTTGTGGCATTCTCCTCAATATCAATTTCAATGGGGTATTTATTTATTTACATGTCAAATTTAAACATTTTAGAAAATTAGACTTCCTCTGTTTACTGATAATTGTCCCCTCCAGGTGAGAACTAAAGGGACTGAGTGCACCACGGCACATTTACGCCATGCCGGGCAATTGGGAGGCTGGCGCTTTGTGATAAAAGAATTGGGAGGAGGGCAGGGAGGAGGAGGAGGAGGAAGAGGAAGAGGAGGAGGAGGACTGAGCCTGGCTCTTTTCTTGCAGACGTTTCCTGACCCAAACTAGGGGGGGGAGCGGTTCCTTTCCGCAGGGAAGCCCCCCCCCCCCGGGAGGGCGTGAGAACCGGGTCAGGCAGCCTCACCGGGGGGGGGGGGCCGGGGCGGGGGGGGGGGGGGGGGGGGGGGGGGGGGGGGGGGGGGGGGGGGGGGGGGGGGGGGGGGGGGGGGGGGGGGAGGAGGAGGGAGGAGGAGGAGAGAAGCCCCTCCTGGAGGTCTCAAGGCCCGGCAGCCCCGCCAGGGCCAACTCCAGCCTCGGGGCATTTAACGCGGTTTTCACTGCAAGGGGCGGGCCAGCCAGACTCGCGGCTCTGCCGTTCACAGGTTGCGTTCACTACCAAACAAATAGTGGAAATTATTACCTCCACCGATCATTTCTTGTTTTAGGCCAAGAGGCCCAGGAGGTCATTAAATCCGCATCTCCACCATTTTATGGCACGCGTTTTGTTCTTTTTTTTTACTTCAAAATCTGACTTCAGAAATAACCGTCCTTTTCCAAAGCGGAGCGCGCGGAGGGACCGTCCGCTGCTCCGAGCCCGGGAAGCCCCCCCCGGCCGGGAAACCGGATCCCCGTCCGGCTCCGCGCCGCTCCGCGCCTGGCCCGGCCGCCCCTCCAGCCCCCGACGCCCCTTCCAGGGGGAAAGGCGGACCGGGGGGGGGGTCCCACGAGGCCGCTTCTGCGGGCCGCGCAAGGTGCAGCCGGGGTCCCAGCCGGGGTCCCAGGCAGGCAGGCAGGCAGACCAGCTGCGGGAAGGGACGGGAGGCGGGCCGGGCCGGGCCGGGGGTGGGGAGGCATCCCGAAGCCGCCCTGCTCCTCACCTGGACCGACCTCCTCGCCC